CTGCTTTAAATGTTTTCATGTTGTAATTATTCTGCATATGTCAGTTTACCTGACTAACTTGTACAGGGGGAATTGAAGAGGTTAAGAGACCTGAAACAAGAGTTGCCTGGCCTGTGTGATAGATTTTTTTACTGACAATATGAAACTTTTTTACTGACAACCAAACTCTCTTACTGATGCATACTTTCACTAATATATGTTTTACATAATGTAAAGGTAACCCTTCTGTTGTCAGCTGCTGAAGGCAGTTAGATGATCTGGGTTCAAATGTAGGGGCTTAATATTAACCATAATAAAAATATTGGGTTGTTAGTAAAAAGTTTGCAGATTGTCAGAAATATTTTTGAGAGGCTGGTAACTCTGCTTGCTTGTAGCAGTGGTTTTACACTGTGCTGCCCCTACCCTGGGGGTCTCCTACTCAACCACACTTGATACCCCCAACTGCACTGTAACTTCTACCTCCCCCCTGCTCACCTTCTAATCTGACCCCTACAAGCCCTACCCATCTCCCTCTACCCCTCTCTCCCCAGCTCTGAATCTCCATCCTGACCCTTCACCTCTGTCCAACTGAGGCCAGGACTGGGATACCCTGCACAACTTTCTGGTGAGTGCTGAGCAGCTGTTACAGCTAGGGGATGGCTAGGATGTACAGCAGTGGCACATGCAGAAGGAGGAGGGAAGGGGCTGACAGACATCTGCAAGGTGCTGAGCTGCACTCCCATTAGAAACCAGGGGGCACTTCTCTGCTCAGTCTGTTCATCAATATTTGAACCTAGCTTTATGCCAGTGGTGACAACAGATCTTCAAATAAGCTCACTGTTTAGTTTTTTATGGATGACTCCACTTCTTATAGGCTTCACAGACAGGCTTTTTTAGCCTGTTTTTTATGGGCTGTCTATAAATTTATGGACAGTTGGCAACCCTGCAGAAGATGCACCCACCAACAAAGACTCGAATAGCCTTGTTGATGCTTCAGGTGTGCTTGGTAAATATTCTTTGTAGGTGACACTCAGGAGGCCTAAGATAGAAGTGTTGGCACTGGATTTATGACCCAGATACCTTGTTTCAGGTGGACCCAAAACCCTTGGACTGACCACAGTCTCTCCATTCGATAATAGGATAATTTTATTGATACACAGTGATATCAGATAAGAATAATGCAAATATAGAGCTGTCAGAGAGTCAAAGTATATCTGGCTAGTATCAAGTTTCACCCTGAGGTGAATGTCAGATGTCAGCAGTCTGGAGGTAGAAGGCTGTGGCCCCCCTCACCAGTGGGGTGGGTGAGATAGGCTGGTGGTGTACCCTCTGACCATGGTGGCCTCAGGTTCCTCTCTCAGGGACCCTTTGCTGTTTTGAAATTCCATTTTTTTTTTTATGTATTATTTTTTCCTCTCTGATGACTCTTCATTTCTGGGTTTTGCTGATTGGTTTCTCTGTGACTGACATACTATCTATGTTCTGTCCTGTCAGCATATTCTTTTGTTTCACAAACCCATCACATGCACGCATCTTAATGTGGTTATTTCCGATTTCTTTTAATTTGGTCAATCTACAAAAACTAGAAATCCCAAGGGCTCTGCAGTTTGGCGTTGTGACCTGCAGAGTTCCTTCTCTGTATTATGGAGCATGTGGTACCTGTCTTCAATTTCCCAGCCTGTGTGTCTGCTTGTTGCTTACCTGTGTCAGACACAGTGGGCCTCAAAGGAAACTTTGTCATTAAATAGGCTTTTAGAAACAAATTAATCCTTGCCATTCCCCTGGGCCATTATTCTAATGCATATCTACTTTACCTACAAGCCATTTCCCAAATGCAAGTCTCTAAATAACATCTTCTAGCCATCAGAGGCAGGTAGACTTCAGATAATGGAAAAAGCAGCCTGAATAGGAGGGTTCTGCCTTAGGGCTGCAAAATCTGGAAAGGAAACAGGAAAGCCACTTTGGGGTGATCAGGACTGTGTGGACTGAATTAGGGATAGAGGGACAGCTTATCCCTTTGGAGGGAATAAGGTCATCTTGCTATCTGACATTTTTCTCAGTAAAGACCTTTATTGAAAGTGGAGCTGTCTACTTTGCTGCTCAGAACTCGGGATGCGCTTCTTTTCCCTTTGAAGAGGTAAAGTCCCTCTTTCAAGAGCTGAGCTGGAAGGTAGCTCCCTGAGGGAGGGTCATGGATAACCAGGGATGGTTGTTAGACTGAATGGCCAGGGTCCCAGGGCCAGGGCTCGCTCTCCTCCCCCACTGTGTCTGGGCTGTCTTCAGGGTGCATTCAGAGAGACCAAGCTGAGGCTCAAGAAACCACTTTTCTGGAAGAATTCATAACAGCTACAGAAGATGGGAATTTTTTTCTTTTACATGTGATGATTATAGATTCTTGATTTTTAAAAAGCTATATTATTTTGCTTCAGGATTTGTAGTGGTCACTTTTTCTCCCAAAGGCTTTCTTTTTCCTTCGTGTTGCTACATCCTCCAGGTTCTTTTTGAATTGACATTACAGAGTAAAGCAAGTCAAACATAGTTACAGCCTCCAGAGCATGCTAACAGAGTGCTAGAGAAGGAGATGTTGGTAGATGAAGATTTGTCCATTTATATTGGCAACCATACCTGTGAGGTTGGCAGACTGGGCCAAGAAAAGCTCTTGCTGCTGATGGAAGAGCTTATTCAACTCTGAACTACTAGACACATCTGCCACTAAACCTGCCTTTTATTTTCTTGAAATAAAAACTACCTGTAAGAGAGCTGCTGTCCCTCTGGATAAGAGTAAGCAAGGTTCATACTGAAAGAGAATGAAAGATTTATCAATTTTTGCAGAATGAGACAGGTAGGAATACTACTTCTTGAACACAACAAGGATATTAATGCAGAGTCTCTACCAAATTAGATTTCTGGTGACAGGTATGATTTTTTTGCTACTTTGGCTTGAAAATCTGTGAACAGACAGTGAAGATAGTCAAAAGAGTGTTTCAGCTTTTACTTGAGCTGTCAAAAAATGACTTGTGTGGATCTATGAGGGACTGAAGTAAAAACATAGAGTGAAGCATAGAGTGAAATGTCACAACCAGAAAGACTGTAAAAATCCTCGAGCAAGTGATACTTGCTTTGTACTTCATATTTTTTGTAAATATTTGCATTTAGTCTTTCACTGGCATATTAACATTTAAAATGAATAATTAGTCATCTCAGTACTGATTGGAGTTCCCACATATGAGATTTAGATGTCTGTCTTAGATTTATATGCTTTGACCCAACAGGAGTCCAGTTATTGATCTTAGATCAAATTATGATTGTTTAGTTGTTCAAAGCATGCTAATTTTGCACCTGTATTTTCAGAAATGTGAGAGCTGTAGCTTCTATATTCATAAACTTAAATAAACTACACTGAAAATAATTCTGTCTTCAAAAATATGTGTTCGTAAAGTGGGAAATGTTCAAACATTTGAGCCCCAAAAACTGTTGGTCTTACATTGTATAAGGAGCTATTATATCTGCCATTGCAATATATGTTTATCTTACAGCCTTAAGCAAAACAGGCTGTTATCTTTTTTTTTTATTATTATGTTTATATCTATAGAATGATCTCTAGCTTTACAAATCAATATTCCTACTGTGTTCTACCTGATTGATATAAGATTATTAGTCTTTGCAGGCTGGTTAAAGGAAATAGCTGTTCTTTATCTGAAGGACAGGAGATCATGGTGTTTCATAAAGAACAGATGGGTTGGTTTTTCTTAGGTAGTTGTGAGTTACTAGCATCACAGCTACATAAGCTATAAACTCTTATGAGGTTTAAAAAGGACAAGTGCAAAGTCCTGCACTTAGTATGGAAGAATCCCATGCACTGCTACGGCTTGGGACCAACTGGCTAAGCAGCAGCTCTTGCAGAAAATTTTCACATTATTTCACAGACCTGGGGGTTGCAGTGGACAGTAAGCTGAACATGAGCCAACAGTGTGCCCTTGTTGTGAAGAAGGCTAATGACATACTGGGCTGCATTAGCAGGAGCATTGTGAGCAGATCAAGGGAAGTAATTATTCATCTTTATTCTGCTCTGGTGAGGCCACATCTGGAGTACTGTGTCCAATTTTGGGCCCTCTACTACAGAAAGGATGTGAACAAGTTGGAGAGAGTCCAGCAGAGGGCAATGAAAATGGTTAGGGGGCTGGGGTACATGATTTCTGAGGAGAGGCTGAGTGAACTGGGCTTATTTAGTCTGCAGAAGAGAAGGTTGAGGGGGGATTTAATAGCAGCCCTTAACAACCTGAAGGGTGGTTCCAAAGTGCATGGAGCTAGACTGTTCTCAGTGGTGACAGATGACAGAACAAGGAGCCATGGTTTCAAGTTACAGCTAGGGAAGTTTAGATTAGATATTAGGAAAAACTCACTAGGAGGGTGGTGAAACACTGGGGTGGGTTATCTAGAGAGGCTGTGGAATTTCCATCTTTGGATATTTTTCTGGCCCACTTTGACAAATCCCTGGCTGGAATGATCTAGTTGGGGGAAGGTCCTGCTTTGAGCAGGAGGTTGAACTAGATGACCTCCTGAGGTCTCTTCCAAATCTTATTTTCTATGATTCTATGATACATCTCCTAACTTTACAAACTAAAATGAATTATATTGAAAATAGTTACACCTTCAAAAAAGCATATTTATAAAGTGGTAAATATTTCAAACACACTGTGCAGGATTTTTCACCTTTTCCTCTGAGGGCCATCTTCACTTAAATATAATGATATTATTAGTTTTCATGCAAACACACACTGAGGTTATAGATATAGATACCTTTTTTAGGTTTGAATGCATTTTTTGTACACTTTTGTTTGTAACTTATAGAAATATATTTCTAATTGCAAATAATAAAATAGATCAAGTTGAAATGAAGTGAGCCAAGAACTGAAAAATTAAATTATTTTTGTTGCTTTTTTATTTCAGTTGTTGGAAATCAAGGCTTCTATGTAATCTTAAAAGGCTCTGCTAAACCCCGAACAAAATTTTACAAGAGAATGCTGGGAGAAGATTGTGATTCTTTGTCTGTAGAGCCATCTTCTATTATTCCATTTGGTTTATCAGCTCGGACATTGGTAAGCTTTGATCAAGGTAGTATATTAAAGTAAAGAATAGCATAAAGAAATCCAAGCAAGTTTTGTTATTGGCCTGTTCAGTACAAGAAGACAGGTACTTCAGAAAACTAGCAAATATTTATATTAACTAAGGAGAGAGGTTTTTGTCAGCGCTCCTTAGTATGATTAGCTTCACTTAGCCCAAGGACGCTCAACCTCTGGCCCATGGACTATGTCATATGACCCATGGGGGCTCCAAACTTGTTTGGGCATTTGGTGGCGGGGGCATGTAGCAGCATTAATTGCCTCTCCCCTGCTGCCAAATTTATGGACCTGTGGGGAGTCATGCATGCCAGGTGACATGATTCTGCATGCTAAATTGCTCCAGCACACAGCTGGATCTGTGCACGTGGGGTCAGATTGGGCCAATGCACAGCTACATTTGTATGTAGGGTTGGAGTGGGCTGATCGGTGCCCCCACAGATCAAACTGGATCTGAGGACAGGGTGTCACACTTATGGACTGATAGCCTGCAGACTAACCCCATGCCACTCATCTGGCCTGTGGAGCCAGATTGGTGGGCATCACTGACTTAGATTTTAAGCTCTGTTGTTTGTGTGTA